AAGAAGTCCCCTGTAGGCAATATWTGCACACCACCGAACGKGATGTCCAGTTTTCTGGCTGCACGGGGAGYGTAGTCAAGCCGAAGAAACGCATCTTTGTCCATCATGCTGAACTCATCGATGATAAGTAGGCCCAGTTCTGGCGTGAAGCCACGTATGCCCTTCAACTGCGCCTRGCGTCGCTCGAAACGGTAATCGACTTCGAGGTTGTGCATCCCGAACCAGCTATGGAACGTCACCCCAGTAATGGAAAGTGCGGCTTTACCGGTCATCGCAGTTTTGACGACACTGCGCGGATGCTGCCACCTTTTAGCAAAGGCATCGATGGCAGTGATCACGTGAGATWTGYCGGTACCCCCCTCTCCGGTGGGGAACATGAGGAGCTGCTGTTTTCCAATTATGGTGGCCATATCCAGCAGCGACATCGGCATAGACATGTCTTCGACTTTCGTTTTGGAAAGCCAGATCGTGAGAAGGGATTCAACCAAAAGGGAGAMAGCAAAGTGTTGTTTATGGTTGACCGAGAATTGCATCGACACATCAGAGATCGTCKGGAACAAGGAGTCGTGCGGCGAAGCAGGCTTCGCAGCGAAMGCGTTGTCGAACGTCTTATTGCAGGGCAGAAGCRCATTCATGATTAGGCGGAGACGAGTAGGCTGAGGTAGCCGACGCCAAGCATCASGGGCAGCGGTGGCATCTTCGACCAAAGAAGGCGCCGCTTTTGTCCARGCACGAACGGTGTCAAGATCGTCGATGGTTTGTTTTRAGAAACACCCGGTTGATGAAGAGTCTCCCTGRGCRAAGYTCTTTTACATATCAAGTGTGATCGTTGCAAATGATGTCATCAACTCRRRCGACAAACCCGATGCAGGCCACGGGTCTACAAGGTCATTCGTCATCACCAGCGCATTTATGGCATCGTCGGCATGGCCCCGCCCTGCGCGATTTTGTGAGTCGCTGTCAGAAGGAGGACACATCGGTACACATGCGTGCRATGAGYTGTCACTGCCTGTCAGATATTTCATCTCACGAGTCTGTATGGGGAATGCCCTCGGCTTGTTCGGGCAGTCTTTGACTACGCACCTCCGCCGCGCGTTCTCGTGCGACATGGTAGTCTTGCATTTGCAGGTAAATGGTGCACACAAATGCAGGCATTTGTTCGTAGAATGATAGAAAARCCTCGTGSCATGTATCGCGGGSTACGAGCAAATCTGTCGAAATTCGGAACGGTTTGAACAACAACAATGACAGTTGTGCATGAAGAGTTTTGGCAGCGTCGTCGACGCTTGTCCTAAGGTCAGSAATGCGTGCAGAATTAGTCACAACAGGGATCGCGGGAAGCCTTCGGAGTCCCAAAACCTTCTGATTACATAATGGATGGCTTTGAAGGAAGTTGCCATSAGCTGTGGAAGATACGGATCTAGTGCAAGTGTAAAAATACATCGTAAATTCGTGAAGGRACATGTGCGTCAATGCCAGTGGTCGGAAAACATAATCATYCAAAGGTCGTTTCACGACAAAGTTCAAATTTTATCTTTCCAACGAACACAAAGTGTCAGGGTCGTTTTGCAGTTGTTTCAGCATGTRAAAAAGAGAGAGTGTTTTGTAATCGTGACTGAGATACRCGCACGACTGCCGTAACAGATACAGTGCGCATACCGGACCARCAGTTTCTTGTTTGTTTGTTATACTAAATAGTTGAAAAGATARGCGGCTTCGTATTTTTGTTTCTGTMGAYATTTGTGTTTGCTCCTCTGCGAGTTTCTCTCGTTGGCAGCGCGCATCAAATGCTACTAAGCGCAGTGCAATTTTGCAATCAATTCTATGCTGGTCTTTGGTCGCATATTTTCAACAATAAAAGATACGGTCTGCTGCATCCGCGCCGCCGAATAGAGGTTGTATGTCGTGGTTGCATTTAAATGCAATCAGTATGACATTATTGTAAGCGTTAATATATTCGTCGTCCAGGCCCCGTTTGAGTTCCACACCAGAGTCTCGTAAAACCGTCTGTTCGCAATGCGCACGCGGGAATAGATAGCGACAGACTTCTGTGTTTTTGTTCATACGAGTATTCTAGAAACAYGATCCGGTGTGAGCCCAATGGTGTGTCTGGACAAGGAAAAGAATCAACGRCAGCGTTGACATAAAAAAACACAAGCRTGGTGGCAATACGAGTATTTTGTTACTTGTCGTGTGTGTGTGGAATGGATCGTCCGTGAGCTTGGAATACGAGGCCAAGGCTGTGCTTTGCCGCCGGATGTCATCATCGGCGGGAGACGGTGTAGCTTCCAGAATGCTYTGACGTTGCACTTGGTGTGAACTAATTAAAGCGTGACAGTGTTCACACTTTGCGCTCGGAGGTTCGACCAATGATTGCGGTTTGCCTTTCCGGAACAGTGAGCACCGAGCTGACTGCGGGAGTGCATGTATTTTGTAAGCCAGCGCCGGCGCATGGCAGTGCGCAAAAGGCATACAGAAAATATGTTGCGGTGCGGACGCAGAAACAATGTTGTCCACGTATTGCGTGACTCGATCAGCGAGCGACTCGTCCGCTTTCTGCAAGTCGTCGAAATCGTGAGTTGTGGGGGGCGTGTTTTCAAGCCAAATGAAACAGTGCAAATGTAATGTATCATGGCCTTGCGTTTCCACCATTCCGAAATATGCCTGCACGGGCCCAAAGAGACCGCCCTCCGGCATACGTTTTCGGTTCATTTTGTCGAAACCCAGCACCTCACAGAAGAATATGGACATCAAACGTTCAAAAAGTCGGGCCGAAGCAATATTGTCGGCCATAGACAAACGCTTAACATCTTCGGTCTGCATATTGGGGTCATCAATAAGCACATTGCAAAATGCTTCTACGTTGAGGATGCCAACGTACGGCGCAAGTGCAAACGAGGTGTCAGCGTTCGAAGTCAGCGTGACGAAAAGCGTCGGTTGACCAAAACGGTCGCAAGTGGCGAAGGCTTCTTGCCGACGTGCGCGTCGTTCTGCGTTGCTGCCCCAGACATACGTCGAAGCACATTCAACATGACAAAGATCTGCGACCGCCTGATCTATATCGGGCGTTTGGAGATCGGCAGTTCGTCGACGGGTGTTCTCTAATCCGGCGTTCAACATTTCGGTCGTGATGTCGGCGATCGGTTGATGCAAACGGGGTTGCATTTTGCATGTGAGATGCGAGAACATGTATCCGCGATTTAGTGAAAGGTGGTCAAAAGCGGCCATGCAATAGTATGGATCCTGTGCAAACCGCGTGGAGCTTGGTAGACAATAATGCTTCACACAGAGCTCGCGTGAAGTGGCGACTCTACGACCTTCTTCTCTAGGGTGCCCGCGCCCATACGGGAATACATGCGGGAACATTCTGGCCTCCAATGTCGACTCGAAAAGGTTAGGGAATTTTGATGACGTGTGGAGCATAAAAATCGGGTCGTTGGATCGTCCAGTCTTTAAGAGTAAGACCACACGTTGTTCAACAATCGGATCCAACGGTGCAGTTGCGTGTGAGAAGACCACAGACTTTTCAATGTAAGTTGTTTSGATGGTTGTGCCRGGGGGGGCATTACRACCATCCTGTTCACGGTCCAACAACTAAGCATACGCGTGATTGTTCGACAGGTCTCGGATCACAAGCGCGGGCACGTATGCRGGATCATCATGCGGAATGCTGTCAAGAACCGCRTCATCGCGTTGTACATGAGAATAGAGAACATTGAATGYCATATRAAAGTTGAGCAGGTCTTCCACCATTGAATGTCTAATKCAGTGTAGCTTCTTAATGCATGTAACTTGATTAGCMGTAAATGGCCCTGCTAGGATGATGCRGTAGAACGTGTCTTTTGTTATTGACCTGGGAAGCAAAGTTGATGCCGGCCCGGGCAATGCGTCAAAAACAAGCAAATGGGAAAGTATCGAGCGATGCAATCCTCCGCGCATTATCCTGGTCTGAGCAAGAA